GTAGCTACAGACAGAAAGATGGGGTGGACAAGGAAACAATGAGACAATATTGGTCAGTATGGCAGACTGTGCCCTCAGCACACAAGCTGCCTAACCATTATCAAGTTTTTTCATAGATATCATAGCAAAGGAGAGTTTTACCATGGTATTTGAAGGAAGGCAACGAGAAAGCTTTGTAGTGAGCTCCTCCAAAGCAAGAGGGGCAGCGTGGGAGAAAATACAAATGAGCTTGTTTGAAAGCCCTGCACCTGATGTCCTACAAATTGCTCATCTGCTCCCATGAGCAGAGAAAGACCAGTGCTTACAGGCCCCATCAGGTGGGGCTTAAAAAGCAGGAAATGGTCCCTTCACAGTTTGCTTCCCCCACAGAAGGTCTTCAGTGGGGTTAAAGCCAATTCCCCCATTAAATGTGGGAAATACCTAGAGGAGTATCACTGCCTAAGAATGACGGCAGAACCACTAATTGAAACCCTTCACCTACCCACCATTTGGCTCTTCCTACACACAGCACCTCCTTACCACTCATGTGGTGCACCCCTAGGACCAGATGTGAACTCTCACACAAGCATGCATAGCCTCTCTGCCCATGTGCATGCTACTCTTGCTGTCCTCAGTCTCTGCTCCATTGCCCTCTTATCTCTACCCAATGCCTTGTCCCCCATCTCTGTATCTGGGGACTGCTGTCGAAGCTGCTGAGGCTGAAGACAACGAGTTAAGTTAAAATCACTGTTTTCTACATCCCATCACCACTATATTTATTTATTGGTTTCTCTTTTTAAAATCTTTTTTGGTAAGAAATATTTTTGGAAAATTCTCCCACCTACCCTCTGTGTGTTTACTACAGCTCCTGTGGATTTAACAAAATTGGATAAGTTTTAGACCAGATTTGGGCCTTAGAAACATGTGTACAGAGTCTACCGAAATCAACAGGCTTTGTGCACAAGGCAAAATTTGACAAATTGATTTTTCAGCTACTTGGAGCAGTTCACTTTCTTCATAGTATCCAGCCAGCCACGGTGTCAACGTCAAATGGAAAATCTCTGTCAATTGCTTCGTTTTCCATCCTAGCTAATAAACATCTAGCTCTGTGTCAGACTTGAGCTTACAGTGAAGGAGAGGAAAATTTCATATTATCCTGGAAATATATTTCTAGTGCTCTCTTTATATTTGTATGAGCAATGCAGTCTTCATACTTCTTTAATCCTTAGACTGTTTCAAAGGCTATGGCTGGTACTGTGCCAAATGCAGTGATTATGTAACGTGAACAGAAATCCAGTTTGGAATGAGCATAACAGATCAAAATCATTTCATCTAGGACCTTTTATAGTAATTTGATGTAATGATGCTCACTGATTTTTGAGGTACTAAAAACCAGACACTGAGATAACGCATGATTTGAGTAAACATGTGACTTACAAGGTGAAACTGTGGGTATATCATGGTCCTTTACAAGACTGTTTTACATACAAAATAATGATATATATGCAAAACCTAAATCCCATGACAAAGTTTCTGACTCACTGACTTTTACACTGTTTCCTGTTAAGAAATGCTTCCTTTTCACATGCCAGCAGTGCTTGCAGTTGTTCTATTCAGTTTTCTTTTACAGGCTGCAAAAATAGCTTTCCATTTTCCCCTCCCCCACGACTTTCTCAATCTTTTTTCTTAATTTGTTAATACAATAATTATCTATATTTAGAAAAAATATTTAACAGTTTAAGCTATCTTTTTAACTCACGAAAGGTATGGGACAAGTTCTTTGCTGTTGATTCACCCAATCTGACACCCATCATATGGTATGTTAATAAATATCATATTTCACAGGCTGATGTAAATGTCCTTTATGCCTGCTTGTTATGGACATTAGAAGGAAAAATACTGCAAAGCTCAGATAAAAATTTCAACGGTTCTCCCAAGGCTTCTGTTCTTTTCATTATTATTATTTTTTCTTTCTAAATTTTTAAATTGAATAGAGCACTTGTGAAAAGTGCTAGATTGACAGCCCTGGCGTCTCTGTTTCTCTACAGCTTTTCTCAATCATTTCCACAGTGAAATAGAAAAGACAGCATTTGGACATGCTCAAGCAGGAGTAAGCCCATCTTCTGTGCCTTCTCCTCTGATAACAAAAGGGGCTAGGACTCTTTCAGGACTGCAAATGGTCTCTACTCTTTTGCAGCTCTCTGCAGCTTTGGCTAACAACGGGCCAAATTCTCTGCTTAAGTAAACTGGGGCAGCTCCATCAAAGACAACAGAGCTGTCTTATAGCCTCTTGGAATTTGTCCCATGATCTGTTTGCAGAGAGAGACTTTTATTATAAAATATCATTTTGAAAACTCTTTTGACTCTTTGGTGAATCATGCATGAAATCTACAAAGAGCTGTTGATCATCTCCACATTCAGTGTATTTTTTTAATGGACTAGTTTCCTAAGAAAAGCCTCCCTGATCAGTTTAGGCAAATGTTCTAAAATTAGGTAATTTGATCATCTTGGCCTTAGATTTCTAATACATGGATTCTTTTTTTAATTTTATGTCAATGAGAGGTGCCAGAATGACAGCCCAGGAGGGTGTCCTCTTAGCTAGGTCAAGGAACTGGTAATAGGATACAGAGCCTTTCACTATTACAAGTCCCCAGGGCTATCTAGTCCTCCTTGCTGTATATTTTTAAAAGACTTTGATGTCATAGATCTCCCTATCCAGAGTTTTGCCCATGAGGCATGAGTACTAGCTACTGAAAACTGGTCCAGGATGGAAGCAGTTAACATTCAATTTGCATTAGCCTAAGGCCCATCATTGCTGGTACAAACTGATGAACCATTACCCCAAGTGTGGATAGGACCTAAAATAAATAAATAAATAATGGACTGATTGAAACAAAGCTTTGTTTCTGAGACAGGATGTATATGTTTTACTGCCTGAAAAGTAAGCATTATTACAGAACTAAGGTAAAATGAACTAAATACAAGCAAGTCTACATACGCACACTAGTACACATAACTGTTCCAGGGCCCAGGAAGCATTGACAGTGCGGCCAGGAGTACCTGAGATTCTTTACCTGCCTGTTTGCAAAAGTCCATATTACTCAGCAGCCTGGCTTTGCCGGGGGTGCTGATGATTCTATGGATGAATGAATGTCTTAAATTTCCACTTGTCTTTCTGAATAAGTTTGCCTACAAGGCTTTAACTTGGATTCATCATAAACATATTACAAAAGCAGTGTAAGACCTGAATGCTCAATTGTGGCTGATCTGATAAAGATGAATCTTGTACATGAGAAAAAATCCCAGTGCTCTTTCATTTCTCATACATTAACTTTGATGTAAGCTGTAGGAAAATGTCAAAGGAAAGAAAGAAGGCAAAATAAGGTATTTAAGGCTTAAGTGTTGGGGTTTTTTTTCCTCAAAATTATACATGGGAGGATGGGCGGTACAGTACAGGCACAAATCACATTACCTGGCCTGTTTGTGAATGGGATTTGTGTGTGCCTCCAATGCACCATTTTGAAAAGATACCTTAAGTCTTTGAACATTTTTTATTTGTCTTTAGTTTTTTGAAAATGTAATGCAGTGAGTCACCCACTGAAAACAGGGCTATGGACACACTGATTAAAGGTACTTTATTGTCAAAAATAGGACTGCACATAGAAAATAATATAAGTGCAAACTGCAGAAGAATGTATTCTTGCTTCCTTTCTAAATTCAAAATATCAGTGTCTATGCATAAGGAAACTTTTATTAAATTATTGATATTATTATTATCATCTTTAATTTTATTTGTGGTGCTCCAGAGTCAGCTAGGAACTTTACAGACAAGTATAAAGAGGTGTTACCTGCCCTAAATAACTTGCAATCTTTCTACTCTGTTATTACTTTTCAAATTATTTTACAGTATCACAATCTGTACTTACTGTAGGTGAATAGTTATACCTACAAACATCACAAACATGGAATTAAGGCTTCAGTCAGCAAGTAGAAAAAGATAAACTGTGATTGAGTCAGGAAGTTTTTGTCTCTTTACAGATAAACATTTTAATAATTAGCTAGTTGGAGAAAAAGAACAAAGCACAAAGTTGAGAACTGGACTCTGCTTTTTAATGCCTTATTGCACATAAAATGTATTGTGTAAATAGAATTTAGAAAATTGTTGGTATTTAGCATGAGACTGTTACTTGCCCTTTGCAACCATGCAGGAGAGTAAGGGGAGATGCTATGCACCCTTACTCTTCTACACTGCTTACCCGTATCATAATTAGCAGTGGGGGTGGGGGTGAGGCACAGCCTCTGTGGCTACTACTTCTTCTGCCCAAGGGCTGACAAGGAGTCAGCATATTGGGCTGGGGAATGAGTGGCACATTGGCTCTGCTTCCTAAACACTGGCCAGGTCAGTTGAGTCAGCCATGAATAGGAAGCAATTTAGCACATATAGGGCTGGCACAGATGACTTCCCCTCAATATCCCACACAAGCAAAGGGGGAACCAGGAGCCAGATTGTGAGTCAATTTGTTTGGTTCCTGGTCTGCTTTTGGGGCAATGCATCTATTCACTGCCTCTTACTCAAGGCTCGTGGCAAAGCCATTACTCATGTAGTCCCAGCACAGTTCTTAAATTGTGCCAGTATGAATTCTACCCTAAGAGCACACGAGAGCCTTCCTTTGCCTCTCGGGCACATTTCCTGGTCACTGACTCTCTCTGGTACCCCTTACAGAAATGGAGCCCCCCAGCCTGCCTGCCTTAGGTCCCCAATACCAGTGCTGGCCCCCAAGATAGCCCACTAGCTTAAACACACCTTCTTCCAGAATCCTACCACAGGTGTGAGCTATCTGGATTACACATTAACTCTCTCAAGGGGATTGCCAGGTGTAAAGCGTGAAACACACATATTGAGAGGATTTGCACAGAATTTGAACACCATTGCTCTTTTCCTTTACAGATAAGGAACAAGAAAGTACAGCTCATTTAGAAAACAACAAACATCCAAAATGCAATGCCCCTCTTTATCTCACCCTTGTCTTGGGTATCCCTTGGGAGCCCATCTGTGTTCATGAAGGAGTGTTCCCTCCTGCCTCATCAGACTCCTACATGCAACTCCTCTCAACTTGAGCAGGTGAAAATGGCCAAAGAGCCTGAACAGATCAGCTCCTGACCATTTGTAAATTTCCAGACCCTCTATCAAGTGACCTCCTTATCAGTCCCAGTAGGTGACCTCATTGCTAGGCAACTTCTTTCCTGCTCAACCAGTTCTGGGCAGGGACCAGCTTTTTGCTTAGTGATTACTTTTCTGTGGTTGTGCATATAACTAAATGACCCTCTTTTCTTAGCCATTTGCCACCCACCTTTGAAATTTCAGTCCAATATAGAGGCAAACAAAAGTACATGAGAGAAGACAATTAGACCCTACATTTAAAATGGAGTTTGCAGATTAGTGAAAATACATCCAGAGAGTTCATAATCTCACACAGAATTCATTAATTGTACAGGCAGATTCCCAAAATCATCACAGCTTTGTGTGGGCCAATGGCTCTGGGCTGATTTATTCAGCCCCCTCTTTTGCAGTCGTGGAGGGCTACTTGGCAGCAGAAGCAATGTGGGTCCACTCTGCAATGGTGAGACAGAGCTGGATGCCAGGGGCCATACATGAAGTCTTTTTATTGACTTTTATGGGAATTGGATCAGGCACTAACTGTGTAGCTAGATCTAGAGACAGACCTGCACACATGATAGTGTGGTATAAATGTTCTATCAGACTGAGTATGCAATGACCACACTACATATGAATGGCAAAGCCATGACTGAGTTAAGCAAGTCACTCAAAAGCCAATAATACCTTTGTATCAGACCACTCTGTCAAGAATTCTCCAGAAGCCATATATTTTAGAGCAAGTTTATTTCAAAACCTTTTAAAATATTTTATTGGCATAATGAAGTCCCTGATAAAGGCAATTTGTCACATAATTCTGCAATTTATCACATGCATAGCAGTGCTGCATACTGTTTCTTGAATATATATATATTCTTGCCAAACACTTGTATACTTGCCAATTAATTATACATTTGGCCAAATTTATGGGTTTCAATGGATTTACCCCAGGCATGAAATTGACCCAATGTTTGTGAAGTGCTAAATGAGAACTGAGTATAATGTTCCCAGATTATACAGTGGTTTTTGTGTTATGGACAAAATTCTACTATTAATTAGGCTAAGCCCATCAAACACACTTTCATGAATGTGACTTTGCCTTGGATCAGAACCAGGGATCCAGAAGCAAAGGTTTTTCTATTTCCTATTATCTGTACTCATTGTGTTTCTTTTTTTCAAACCAGGGCACATTTCAGTTTAATTGTATTGTTTTCTCCTGCTTTCTATCTAATTTTAAGGCTTCATGAAAAAAATAAAAGTAGAACATTCAGGAAACTTTAGAGGTTAAGTAATTAAAAATGTAATAACTTGATCTGGTTTGTATGAAAAAAAAGATGAATTAGAAAAGCAGATACTGTATCTCATATCAAATGGACATAATATGAGCTGAGCAGCTCATTGGAATAAGGAAAGAAAGTGGTAAAGGACAGGAGAAGAAAAATTAAAAGTCTTTGTATAACAATCATTGTTTACTTTAAATGCAAAGGATATTCTTTTGAACTGAATATTGTGGTAAGCCAAAACCAAAATTATATGAATGGAAACAAAGTAAAGGCTTTGAATCCCTGATGAATTTTTTGAATTCCTGTGGAAAGTTTGATGGGCTGTCGTTCTTTATATAAATAAACTATTGTGGTTTTAAGACATGTGTTGAGTCTTGGTTTATTTAATTCAGAATAGCCAGGAAAAAAAGGAATCCAGTGTGTACTACACAATATATTGACAGTCAAAGTAAACTGTGGCCAACATAAGGCAGCCTAAATTCATATGTTATGGAGATAAGACAGTTTACAGATTTCTGTAAAATGTGCATATGGCAAATTTTTGAACAGCTTAGGTGGGGATGGTGCTATATGTTGGTTGAAGCATTTAAGACATAGTAATGGTTCTGAGTTAGGTAAGATGATCACAGCAGGCCTGCCAACTCCACTGCTTTTCCAGTTGGGTTACTGCTTTTGCCCTTTCTAAGCTCTGTTAGGAAACCTGACCAAGCCACTATCATCTTTGGATGAAATACTGGCCACACTGAAGTCAATGGTAAAACACTCCCCAAATTCAACAAGGCCAGGATTTTACCCTCGCATCAGACTCTGAGCTCACAGCAGGCTAATAATGAAATCTGAAAGTGTTTTGTGTGTCTTAAGAAATAGCCATAACACAAGATGGCAAAAAAGTATGGAGTTGGTGAAAACAGCTCGACATTTACAGTGTTAAGTGATTATTAAGTAAAGGGTAGAGTGGCATCAGGGGATACTACTGTGACTGAAAGTACCCCTGTATTCATATCCTACACACCAGTGCAATCATCTTTGTACAAAGTATGCCTTGTGAGGTATCATCTGAAAACTGATAACTTGCTGGTCAATAATATCATGTATGTAGCAACATTATATGTTATGAAATGCCCCTGTATGATGTTGGGAGCACAAGTTCCAACCCATCAGCCCTGACTAGGCAAAAGTTGTTAAACAGTTCTATCCTAAACGAAGGAATTTGTCAAGTATCGGAGGGGTGCCGTGTTAGTCTGGATCTGTAAAAAGCAACAGAGAGTCCTATGGCACCTTTAAGACTAACAGATGTATTGGAGCATAAGCTTTCGTGGTTGAATGCCCACTTCGTCGGATGCAACACAAAGGAATTTGTGTTTACCTCGATTTAAATATAAGTAGTAAACAGGGTCCTTGAGACAGCAGGAGGGGGAAATGGCAGGAGACAAGGCAAATTTGCATTTCAGCATACACAGGGGAGAAGAAAGAGCATGGAGCCATCTTCACCAACAGACTCTGCATTACCTTCTTTATGGTTTGAATAAACTTTGCTTTGAGGGGTAATCCTCAGAAGAATCCACTTCAAAGGGTGACTGGACTATAAAAGTGAGGGGCAAAAACACCCCGAGGTTGCTCTCTCTCTCTCTCTCACACTCACACACACACCCCTAAGATGACAAAGGAACCAGCCCTTTGATTTTGGTGGAGGATGGGGGGATCCTGACCTGAGAATTTGGCCAGCCATGTTGCTGGGAACATGTGGTAAGGATTTTACCTTGAACCAAGTTTAGCGTCTTAAGTTTTAGCTACTAGAAAGTGTTTTATCTTTATTTCTCATCACCATTTCTGACTTTAATGCTTTGTACTTGTATTCACTTAAAATCTCTCTTTGTAGTTAAATTAACTTGTTTTATTTTTTAATCAAAACGAATCCAGTGTCATGTTTAAACTGAACTGTTTGAGTAATTCCAATTAAATTAGCAAACTGTTGCAAATAGACCCCTTATGGGGCAACAGACCTCTAATATCTGAACTGCCCTTGGGAAGGCTGGACAGTTCTGCACTGTCCAGCCCTGTCAAAGTTTTGGGGGGAAATTGGGATTGGGAGTATGTTGGGGGAAGTAGTAACCAAGGCTGTTGGAAGCCAGATTGTGACTGGAATGTTGCTGGCAGGCTGCTGCAGTCAAAGCTCCTGGGCCACAGACACTCAGGGTGTGACCTGCATGCTGCTAGGCTGATTGTGAGTGGCCCAGGTTGGGAGTTACGACAGCAAAGCATTGTGAGGCATCCAGAGTTATGGGGCAGGTGGTGACAACCTCTCACTGGTCTGGATTGCACCCTGGAATGTGACAGCTACCATGAAAACAGAATAGGAGCAATATTGGAAATAGAGCATGAGCATGCAAGTGCTGTCCCTCCTGCCATGTGGTAGCACGTGTTTGGGATGCTGAAGCTGACCATTTCCTCACTGGTGGAGAAATCACTGACACAAAGACTCAAGATATTTCTTCTAGTCTGTTTTATTCATAATATGTACACATTGTGTCCTGTTCACATTGAACTAAGATGGTAAAACTACAGCAAAGCTGCAGAGGGACAGTTCTATTTTGAAAATCAGGCTATAGCACTTGTATGCTGGACCTCTTACCAGCTGCTTCTCCACATGATTCTTTGGCTTGCTACTTTGAAACATAAGGTTACCTGTCAACCAGATTCAACCATATTACACGTCCACTGAAGCCCTGTCTCATGTGCAGTTTTATGCTCTGAATGAGAGCCTTAGAATATGCATTGAAGCAGGTGTGTCACTTTTTCAATGAGGGAATGGCCTGATGACATCCTTGGCTACTTCATTCAGTGTGCTCTTCCATTCATTGAACAAGGCAGGGCTCCTGCCTCATTCAGAATATCCCACAGAAAGCAGACCTCCTTCACTTAGAGCATGTTGTCAGAACACATTGTCGACAGGGGATATTGCTGCTCCAGTAGCTTCACCATTACTGCCTGGGAAGAGGATTTTTCCTCGTGGAGCAGAGCAGCATTGGTGAATTTGCCCCTAAAAGCATACACTTTTCTGTATGATTGACAGTGATAACACACATATCTTGAAAGCTTTACTGTCGATGATTAAGCCTTAATAAAAGCAAATAAGGTGGTGTCTGTGAGTACCCCAGTCAGCCATCCAGATATCTACCTGGCATCTTGTAAATTAATCTGGGTGTTTATGCTGTAGATCATAATGAACATGTTGCTATAGCAACATACATTTCTTCCAAAAAAATTTTTTTTGCTGCTAATTACCCTAACATCAACACCAGCTACTAAATCTTTGAATTTCTAATGAATGCATGTGGAAAGCAGTGTCTTGATATATCTCTTCTACTATATCAGCAGGATAAGGAAACAAAAGTTTAATGGATATTGATTATTTGGGTTTATTGGATCCCATCAACCTTTAATTCTAATACATGTGTACACATGCACACTGAAGGTCTGACTGCATATGACTCCTTCTGCCAATGCTGCTCCTACTGTTAGCTAGGGCAAGTCATTCAAGAGTGATACACTTTCTCTAGCAGATGCTGAATGTGCTGTTCTCACAGGCTCCCAACCCTTGCCAACTTGGGAGTCAGCATGGTACCTGAATTCAACTCCTTTACTGGGCAGTGTTGCCATTACACCCACAAACTGGACACATTTATTTATATACAAGAAAAAATGAAATTTACATGCAGTAT